GGGTTCTTGGAGATGATTGTTTAGACGTGTTGGATTGAGTTTTTGGCTTCGATGGAAGATCTTGGTTTTTATCTGCAAAATGAAATAGCTGTCATAAATTTGTTATAGTTTATGTTGTTGTTGTTACTGTTATAGTTACGATTATATAAAAGGTGAATCAATATGACTATATGAGAATTAAGATAGCAAGAACAAAAGATTATAACTTCCACACATAGATATGTAGATTTATATGGATTTCGGGTTAAATGAAAAAAATAACAATGAACTTTTATTTATTTGTTTATTAAATTAACCTGCTTTGATTTTTTTTTTCTTATTACGATATTGTACGTAGAAAATCTACCATATTATAGTAATAACTAAGTAGATTTTTTAAAGTGCAACGCTGTAATTGGGTTTGTTTTTCAATATTTGATGGCTTAATAACTCCGAAAGTACACTGAGCTTTGTAATAAAAGGAAATACAATTACATTATATTTGGTCCTTCGTAACGGGCAAAACTGTCAATTCCATTGTGCATGATGTTCTTAAGAACATTTAAGATATATATATATATATATATATATATATATATATATATATATATATATATATATAAATCATAAGAAATTTGAACTTTTAAAACCAACCCAAATTCATAAATTGTTTACAATCATAGTTTTCAAAACATTTTCAAACATCAGAGTTTCCCAAAATCATAAGTCATAAACAAGAGGATGTGTACGGTCACACCTTCGCCTTCCTGCGGTCATCCGAAGTACCTGAACATAACTCAAAACTGTAAGTTAAATCTTAGTGAGTTCCCCCATAGTACCAACACATAAACAGATAACATATATAATAACAACATGTTGGGTCCAATCAACCATCGGGTTGGAATACCCTAGGCCCAATCAACAATCGGGTTGGAATGCCAATATATTATGGGTCCAATCAACCATCGGGTTGGAATACCCCAGGCCCAATCAACCATCGTGTTGGAATACCAATATACAAAGGGTCCTGTCTTCCTCGGGATGGAATACCCTCTGGCCCAATCAACCATCGGGATGGTATGCCCCCGACCTGTTGGATTATGCACAAATTAGTAAAGCCTCAACCACCAACCAAATATGTGCACATATAATAGATAAACATATAAACAGTCTACAGACAGTTAGACAGTTCTACAAATCACTAAGCATAACATCATCCTATATACCAGGATACCGATCTAACTGATCACCACAGCACGATAACATACTATCACATAACAGGATATCAAATCCAAAAGGGCCAGCCTTGGTGCCTTCGACCCGCAAGTACAGTGAGGAAAACTCACCTCACAAATTGGAACAGCTGATGAGGTCTCGACTCCGAATCTTATCTCTAATCGACACGTATTCCAACCAAATGACCAATATCAATCAAAATCCTAAAATACCCAAAATACCCTTAAGGTTAAACTTGGTCAAAGTCAAAGTCAAACTGGTCAAATCAACTGAGTCAACCCAGCCGAGTCAACGCAACCGAGTCAACTCAGCCGAGTCAACTCAGAGTGAGTATGCGGGGCGTACTCTGAAGGTATGCTGGGAGTACTTGCATGTTGACCACCATCGGGGTTGTTGACATCATACGCGGGGTGTACTCCCAGAAGCTTCAAAACCCAATAATTGCTTAATTCCATTTTTCGGATCCATGGCTAAAATACCCTCAAGAGTCATAAAGTTTCCAACTTTATGACTTTGCATGTCCATTAAGAGCTTAACTCAACTTCTTAAGCCATTAAGACCTTCTAAATGATGCATGGAGCAAAACCAAACATTTGAAACCCATTTTTATGACTCAAAACCCTTCCAAGGGTCTGAAAGGACAACTTAATGGGTCAAGAACATGTTTTGTTCATGAATCATCATTTTGGAACCAAAAAAGTGACTTAAAGAGCATAAACTTAGATCTACAAGATAGAGTGAGAAAGATGCAAACTTTATACCTTCAAGATGTTGCAAACCAAGAAGAAATCCCAGATCCAAAGTGCACTCAACTCCAAGATCTTCTCACCACCTTATTCTTTCTCCAAAACCTGTAACATCCCAAAATTTAAGGTCAAAAATTTCATTTTTAATATAAGAAAACTTTTAATAACTTTGTTCCAGACATTGAAAACATTTCAATTAACACAAATATCAGAGTCTAATCCCAAAGATCACATAATTCAGAATAACATGGGTGAATGCGTTGCGATCGTCCCGATCACCTTTTTCTTGAAAACTGAAGATACGTGAAACCAAAACTATAAACCGTAAGCATGAAGCTTAGTGAGTTCCCCAAATACCACATACCATACATATCAACTGGGCCATACATGCCATACATACTGCGAGCCATACATATCAAACATATCCATAATCAAGTAAGGTGCTATGTGCCAAACATAGTCTTGACGTTATGCCACTGGCTGCACGTGGTCTTTCTTGCCAAGCCTGGGGCCACCCCCTCGGTCTTACATACAAGTGCCAAGAGCCACCTCCTGGTCTTCCATGCAAGTATCACAAAGACAACTAGCATACATACTACTCTACTTAGCTCATCAGCATATAGTGTGCCAGGAGCCACCTCCTGGTATTTCATACATAATAACATACAGTGTGCCCTGAGGCACCTCCTGGTCTTTCATACATATTGCCTACGGCTAACCCCCGGGTCTTCCTACCATACATAATAACATATTGTGTGCCAGGAGCCGCCTCCTGGTCTTTCATGCATAATGCCTAGGGCTAACCCCTGGGTCTTCCTATCATACATAAACTAAATGGGCTGGCATTGGTGCCTTAGACCCATACAAACAGTGAGGAGACTCACCTCCCAAGCTGATTGTAGACTCCTGGGAATAAACCTCTCGCTGCTAGCTCGCGGATCCCCGAACTGCTGGTCTCTTGACTCCCCGAGCTACCATTACCCAAGATGACAATTAGTCCAAATCAATAATCCTCCTTAGGGTAAAATGACCATTTTACCCCTAGTCTAACTTGGTCCATATCTAAGACACAAAGCCATAATACAAAAAGGCCCAACACTAGGTAGGCTTCCCCAAGCCCACTAGTGGCCCACTAATGTCCCAATTCGCTAAATTGGGCCCAATCCCTCTAATGGGCCTTACCCTAAGCCCAAACATATTCTTGGCCCAAAACATCTGACTTCTGATGGCCCACTAAGGCCCAAAGACCCAAAGTCCACTGCTTGGCCCAACCCGAGGCCCAAAACACACCGAGCCCATAACTGATGAGTACGCGGGGCGTACTCCTCTGTACGCTAAGCGTACTGGCTGAATGGGGTGTACGCTGCGCGTACTTGCATGTACGCCCAGCGTACTCCTCTGTTAAGCTACTTTTCCCATTAAGTGCTTAATACTCTATTCCAGAAGCTACAATTACAGATCCAAGTCCTCTTCAACGTCTTAATCCATAAAGTTGGTTACTTGGTGGCTTGCAACCCACCAAATGAGCCCAAACTTGAAATATGACAACAAACTTCCATGGAAAGGGCTAGATCTCATGCATGGTCACAAATGAACCCTAGAGATTGAAACTTTACTGCTTATGGAACACTTTTAGCTCTAAGGGTCGGAACCCTGAGCTCAAAAACGAAGTTGCATCATAAAGATACATTCTTTGGACCTAAAAAAGGTCCAAAGTTCCATAAACCTAGATCTAAGCTTCTATGAGGAAAGTTTCATACTTTATACCTCAAGATGTTATGAAATGGAACCAAAAATCTTGGATCTACTGCTTCTCCTTTGATCCCCCACCTTGCTATGCTCTTCACTTGCTTGGAAAATGGCTTCACTACACCAAAATGCTCTCTAATGGCCTCCTAAGCTTCAAGAACACTCAAGGGAGGTTTAGGGTTTCGTGGTGGCTGTCTAAGGATAAGAGGGAGGCTGATATCTAGGGTGTTATGTTCTTTATATAGTGACATACCCTAAAAATTAGGGTTTAGGGATTCTGAGCGTACGCTGGGCATACCCCTCTCCGCACCCGCGTCCATTCGGCCTTATACGCTGGGCGTAACCCAGCTTACGTTGGGCGTACCTTCATGCCTACCACCTTGCATGCATGATACTTACTTGCCAAACATTTCCATTAGGGACCAATATTGTCCATAGTTTCAAAGTGCTATAACTTCTTCGTTCTTAGTCCGTTTCCAACAAACTTTATATCCACGAAAAGGTGACGAGGAACCCTACACTCTTAGTCACACTCCCAAGCCTCAAACATTTCGAATAAACCCGAGACCCATAAAAGACCGAATCGCCCCTACCCTTTGGCCTCCGAGACCACAACCGAGTACTTTAAAAACTGGGTGTTACAACTCTCCCCCACTTAAACTAGACTTCGTCCTCGAAGTCTTCTGCAGATACTTATCTCAGATACTTCTCATGGGACATAGTGGTCACTCCAAACTAGCCTGAACGCTCAAAACTATTCTTATACAACGCCTAACCTTATCTTCTCAGTCCGATCCCCGAAAGGACCGCTACACTTGACATCCTGAGGGTCCAACCATTACCCTGCGCAACCGATGGTCTTTCTAAGGTAACTGTACATAAGCGACAACCTTTCATGTCTCTACGAAGGACAGATCCTTAGCTATAACCATCCCTCTCTTCTTTGATTCAACAATACCTCCTACTATCTCCATCTCACCTTTTGTTTCTGTTAATGTATCTGATACGGGGGCTCAAACTTCAGGTTTCTCCACCCATGTTTCACCTCCTATTTCCCCTCTTAACCGTGATGATCCGGATATGATCTTCTGTGATGACGACGATGAAGATCTTGGGGGTTTTACCTACATTCCCTTCCAAATCCGGACTGAGACTGAAGATGAAGTACAAGTCACGAAAGGGCAACTACAATCACTACATGAAAAGATTGACCAGCTGCTTATCTCTACCAAAGCTTCTTCTTCTGACGCATATGCTAAAGCAGCTGTTGACTCTATCTTTGAGCGAATCATGAAACAACATTCTGCTTCTGTTGAAACATCAAATAAAGCTGTCGTTGATTCTGCTGAGGTTTGCAAGTACACGACCGAAAAAGTCGATAAACTAATTGAGAAAACAACTGCTTTCATGGAAAACTTCCAAATCACCTACAATTCCAACACTACATCAGCAAATGAAGCATTGAAGAGTCTGGGATCTCTCTTCTAGACTGAAAAGACGAAACTCCAAGAGCTTCGGACTGGTCTTAAATCTGACCATGAATCCTTTCAAGCCACTCTATCATCTCAGATTTCTCAGCTTAAAGACGAACTTGTAAAGGAGAGTACCCTCAAGGATTCCCTTACTCTCAAGACAGAAGAAGCCGAGCTGTTAAGTACCAAACTTGAAGCTTCAGAGAAACAGGTCAATGATTTGTTATCTGAGAGGGTAGTCATGCGAAGCTCTATAACTGATGTTACTGGCTTGCTCTCGAATATCATTGAGACCAGGGACTCCATGATACCCATCACCATGCGTAAGCATCTGGCTGAAGAGTTAAAGCCAGTCTTTGCCATGCTTCACCGCCTTAAAGGTGTTTTTAATCAACCCTTTAATCCGAAACAAAGGGGAGAAAGTGTGACTGGGGGATCAAGAAAAGAAAATGTGGCTGGTGGATCACGGAAGGAAGAACCTAAAGCTCCTGTCAAGCCTGTCAAGCCCATTGTCAAGAAGGAACCAAAAGACAAGGAAACTCTGTTCCATGATGATCCAATTATTGACAATGATAGCGAAGAAGAGATCACTGAAGAAGAACTAAAAAGGCGAAAAGTCTGTGAAGCTGAAATGGATGAACATCAGCAAATCACCCGTGAAGCTGAAGAAAAGGAAAGGGCTGAAAAAGAAGCACATGCTACTCTTCAGAGTAAAAAGCTCTTGTTCCCCAAATGGACTCTGAAGCGAATCCAGCGTGATGCTGTTGATCTTCCAAGCCAGTATTGGTTAGAACCAGTAGTTTCATTTGAACTTCAGAACACACGAGACTCTCAACTGGATCTGCCTATTACACCAAAGCCTTCAGATTTCGTTCCTTTGTTAAAGTGGCGAATGCTCCAATCACAGACAGTGGAGCGGATCATATGCTTTTCTCATTCTATCTAAAGCATATGAAGCCCCAATACGAAACTTGGTCATTGAGCAAAATTATCGGTGTGAAAGTTACAGGGCCGATCGAGACTGATAGCTTTCCAAACGCCAATTTTAAAGTAGCGAGAGGTTCAACCAGCCAATGCTATGAGTTTACTCTTGCAGATCTTCCATGCCTTAACCCAAATGACTGGTTTTCTCTTTACAACATATTGCTGAAGGACAAAGAAAAGTATGAATCTGTCATGTCTCATCTCAAGCACATGATACAGTCGTATATTCAGGAGATTGGAGAGATGGATGTTGAAGTTGCTGCGATCCTGCGAAAGAAGCCTTCGGCTGTTCTTAAGGAAACTCCTAAAGATTTTGAAAAGTTGAAGCCAGGGAAACTTTACAGTGGAGATTGGTTTGTGGCTTATTCTGCTAGGGAATGAACTGGAGCAGACTTTCGTAAAGGATGTTTCTATCTTTCTGATAAGCATCTATATACCACAACCTTCATTGAGTTCATTTTGGAGCAAGTGAGCAAGTTCAAAGGCAACAAGAAAGATGATATCAAGTGCTTCTCAGATATGATTTTATGGTACATTGAAGTTCGCCAAGTAGTTTATGTTATGATTCCGAAGGTGTATGAAGTGCAGAAACGAATCCAAGACTGAAGGGTTCGGGACTCAATTGACGCAAAGGGGGAGATTGTTAGGTATAATAGATTGCGTCATTGGGCTGTTTACTTAAGTCCATTATGTACACGGTTTGGGTCTGTCCAACCGCATTTATTATTAGGGTTATAGTATATAGAGTGAATGCATGCACCGTAGTTGTTAACGTTTGATCGATCTTTTCTCTGTAACCCTAGTACACATCTACAGTAGCAATTCTGTATAGAGTTCTTCTGAGGTTGTGTCTTTTAATCATTCGACACTTGTTGATCCATCTTGTGTTCTTGTTTTCATCTCCTGCTATTACTTTACTTATTAGAATCTAATCGATCTAAGAGGATTTTATTCCTAACAGGGAGTTTTCATATTCTCTCAGGTTGCAGTCGACTTGGATTCGGGAATTCTTCGTGGACGGGTGTTGGGATGAAGATTCGTCAGTTGGGACAAGTGTTATGATCTTCCATTGCAAGCATAAGAACGCAAGGAATTGGTATGGTATATTGGAGGTAATTTAGATTATCTGATTGGTTGAGATTTCAAGAATATCCTTCAGAATTTCGAGAGTTGAGTGATCATTGAGTTTGGCTAACAATGGAAAACTAGTATTGTTCAGCGCAGGGTATGGGCGGTTTGTGCTATTTGAGGGAGATGTGTCGGAGATCCATGAGGACTAAGAGGTGAGAAAGCTACGTCGAGTCCAAGTGGGGGAGAAGTAAGTGGTTGTTCAGATCGAGGTTCGTGTTGATAGGAGTTCAGGAAACTCCTAGCCGCGGGTCGATATCTCCATTGTTATTATAGTTGTTGTGGGATTTGAATGTGTAACCGATTTTTTTGGTTGGTTGTAAGGTTCAGTTCGGGATACATGGCACTTGGATATCAGACCATGTGGGTGGAGCCTATGGCATTCCAGGTTAAGACCATGATTGGTTGGAAATGTTGTACGACTGCGATGGGATTGTAGCATTCACCAGTTCGAGGTAGAATATTATTAGAAATGGTCAATGTGATGCGGAGTTAGTTCGTGATTTTGGCACGTCGGTCAATATTGTCAAGAATATTCTCTATTCTAGGTTGTGGACCATCGGGGTCCGAGGCCTAGTTGGACCTGAGTGGCTCTTGATAGGTGGGGCCGTGGGCGAGGCCCATGTGGTTATGGAAATTCAGAATTAGACCTGGTAGAGACCGTTAGGTCAAGGTTTCGAATCTTGAGTGCAAGATCACATGGGTGATCAGTGTATGACACAGAGGGGTTTAAGGCTGAGTGGCCTTGTGGTTTGGGCTCTTGGGAACCTGGTGGTTGGACCAGGTGCGAGACTGGTAGTCTCGGGGATTGGTTGAGGGTATTTATTTATTGGTTAAGTGAGGGGTGTCGGTAATCGGAAAGTTGTGGTGCATTATGCAAATTCCGATTCATCGGTCTCGGGGTATGAGCAAAGTATCGAGTTGGTTTTGGGTAAGATCTTGAGTCGGAGTTTGTGCGTGTTCAGTGCATGATTTCATTTCAGTGAGATAAGATTTAGGGTATCTATATGCCAAGGGCATCAAATTCTAGGTTCAAGGGTAACGAATGGGTTTGGTTTGATGGTAGCTTAAACCATTATGATGTGTCTTGGGCTGGTTCTATCTGTGATAGAACCACAACGTGATTGGAATCAGGAAGGGATGGGTTGTTGGAGACTGGGTTTTGCTAGTCGGAATTCTTTTCGGGACGCACGCAGGGCTGCTATGTGTGTGCTTTTTGGCTTAGCAATCGGGTAGGTGTCCGGTGTTTCGGGCAGTTGGCAGACAATTTGGGACCAGGGATGAAACATCCTAAAAATACAGTCTAAAAATTTCGTTTTAATTTAATAATAAAAACCATAAATAACTTCTTCACATAAAAATCTTAAGTCATGTATCAAGTCTGATATCAAAATATATCAGAGTATAAACATCCCAGGCTAAACAAATGGTGTGTGCACTGCAATCTTCCCGAGCTCCTCTTTTGAAAACTGAAGTACCTGAAACCAAAATTGAAAACTGTAAGCACAAAGCTTAGTGAGTCTCCCCATACTACCACATACCGTACACATAAACTCATAACTTGGGTCTAGCCCACTGCATCGGGACCTGCCCGGCATCGGATCGTAATCCGGTACACATTTAAACATATCAACAATGCATATAACATAAACACATAATATAACTCTGGGACTACTCCCAACTGCATCGGGACGAATCCCGACATTGGATTACCCGACATCGGACTCCTGCCCGGCATCGGACTCACCCCGGCATCTGACCGCATCGGGCATCGGGCTCACCCCGGCATCGGGCTTGCCCCGGCATCGGGCTTACCCCGACACATACACAGCATAACATATATCATAAACACATAACATAATCACATTATCTGCATCGGGCTTACCCCGACATCGGACCGAAGCCCGGAACATATAATCATAACATATAAACTAGCATACGTTGGGCTTGCCTCGGAACATATAATGCATGACATAATAACTAACATACATCGGGCTTGCCCCGACATCGGGCTTACCCCGGAACACATAATCACATAGCATGTAAACTAACATACATTGGGCTTACCCCGACATCGGGCCGAAGCCCGGAACACATAACACATATCATATAACATGCATGAATCACAAAGACATCACACATACTTTAACTACTTCTCGGGACCGCCCCGACATCGGACCGAAGTCCGGAAACATATAAACTGCATCGGGAAATCCCCGGCATCGGATCGAACTCCGAAACTAGTATCATCTAAACGGGCCGGAATTGTGGCCGTAGACCCGTTCCTACTAGAGGAAAACTCACCTCACACTGCTGAAGTCCTGTTGACAAAACCCTAGCTGCTGGATGACAGAGTCCCGAATCTGTCAACATCAAAATAACACCCAATTAATAATTAGGTTCTAACGCATATCCATAAATCCATGCTTGGGGTAAAAGACTACTTTACCCCTAACTTAGCTTGACTCAAGCCCAAGGCCCAATCCAAAGGACCAAAAGTCCAACTATGGCTCAAAGCCCAACATATGGCCCAATTTTCCAAATTGGGCCCAAACCTTCACATGGTCTCATCTAAGGCCCAACCAAAGTCCAGTCCAACATTTGGTATTTCTAATGGCCCAATATCTCATAATCATAAAGGCCCATACTATGGCCCAATTTTCCAAATTGGGCCCAAACCCTCATATGGGCCTTACCCCAAAGCCCATCTAAATATTCTAGTCCATAAGATTATTCTTGGATGGCCCATATTGGCCCAACTACCAAAGCCCAATAGGAAAGCCCAACTCAAGGTCCAAGTGAAATTAGGGTTTTACATAAAATGGCGATTAGGGTTAAGTTTTTCTCACTTAACCCATTAAGGACTTAATCCATTAAGTCCTTTACTCTAAACATCTATCCAAATTATTCTAGATATATGATATGGAATAATTTGGGCTTAATACACAATCCAATCCCAATGGCCCAAAGGTGGGTCCCAATAAGTCCAAGGCCCAAATACTCACAATTAGGGTTTTCTAAACCCTAATTAGGGTTTCCACTCAAACATGGCCCAATAGGCCCAAAATTAATCTTTAAGCCCATTAGGGTTTTGATAGGTCCATTAGGGTTTTGCTAGTAGGGCACCACCCACTAGACGTGACCAAAAAAACCGGTTCACAAACCGAACCGGTCAGTGAACCGGAAACCGGTTTACCCCCGAACCGGTTTAGCCCTAAACCGAACCGCACTTGAACCGAACCGCCGAACCAATACCGATTCGCTGTAGTTACCATTGAGACCGGTTTCGAACCGGTTTAGTATGAACCGGTTTTTTGATCCGGTTTTGAACCGGTTTTGCATATGCCCGTTTTTTTGTCTTATTCTAAAGGCTATATAGCCGTTTATGGCTGTTAGACACCCGATTTTTGGTCCCTTTTGGCCATATTCCCCAATATTTGATAGTATAAATAGCTATTAGATGTTTTGGGTTAACTAAACCTCAAAAAACCTCTCTTACTTCAAAAAACGCTCTTAATTCAAACAATGGATTCGGCTTCCGTTGGTATTGGAGATTCATCAAACACTCTTACCGTTGTTAGCATCAAAGAAACAAATAGAAATCCGGCTATTTGGTGCAACTATGATTTGTGTGTAATGTCGAATGGTCTAAAAAAGGCGCGATGCAAGAAATGTGGTGCTTTTTTTAATGAAGAAGGGAATTCGACATTGAAAACTCATATGACCAAAAGATGCCCTGCGGTGAAATTTGGGTCGGGTCATAATCAAACAACAATGACGAATGATGCAACATTGTGGAGATACGATTTGGCTAAAGTTCGGGATAGGATGACGAAGTTCGTGATTCAAGAATGCTTGCCTTTTGACCACTTCGACAACAAACGTTTGACTTCACTCATCCAAGATACTCTCCAACCACGATATTGCCATGTGAGTCGTACTTCTATTAGACGTGATTGTATTGAAATGTGGAAACTTGCAAAAAATGAATTGATTTTAGGATTTCAATCTTTAGAAACCGGTGTGAATTTAACTTGTGATGTTTGGACGGCTCCTCACGGTTCACCGGATGCGTACCTTTGTGTTACCGCTCATTGGATTAATCCAACTAATTGGGTAATGATGAAGCGTACGATTACGTTTGAATTGTTTGAGTACCCGCACACCGGTAGAAATTTATTTAAAATTTTAGATTGTGTGATCAAAACTTATAAACTTGAAGGAAAGATTTTTTCTATATCTTTTGATAATGCTTCAAACAACACCGTCGCGGTTGGACAACTAAAACTAAAATATAAACCAATTTGCGATGGTGTTTTTTTTCATAGTCGATGTGTTGCACATATCATTAATTTGGTTGTGCAAGATGGACTAACTAGCATTGAAACTATAAAAGATGGTTTCAAAGACATGCTAAAAGATATTTTTAGTTCAAGTAACGCTCGATATCATAATTATATGCAATTTTGTGTCGATGCGAATGCCCTCTTTTTAGGTCCGAATTGGGAAAATAATACCCGATGGAACTCCACTTGCAAAATGTTTGAATGTGCCTTACGTCAAAAAGATACTTTAAAAATGTTCCATGACAACCTTGCGGACCGTAACAAGGTTACGGCTTATCCGGAATCAAGTTGGGATACTATCAAACTTGTTACGGACATGCTTGATGTTTTTAAAAAAGCAACTACTTATTTATCGGGGGTTTATTACCCTACAAGTTGTTTAGTTTTAAACCAAATTTTTTTAATGAGTGCGAAAATAAATGAGTTTGAAATGAGGAGCGCAATGTTTGCTAATATGATGAAACCGATGAAAGCAAAGTTAAAAAAATATTTTCAAGAAATGCCTCCCATTATTACTTGTTCCGCCGCTTTGAATCCGGCTCTAAATGTTGGGGGGGGGGGTGGTTGAGACTTTAATTGAAAATATTT